GATCTAGTAGCTGTTCAGGAACCAATACCTACTCACTCTATGTATTCAAATATCTGAATTTGTGAATTTAAATATACAAATACATAGAGTGGGCAGATACTGGTTTCTGAGCAGCTACTGGGTACTTTACCTTAAGTTTAATTAATTATTTTTTACAGGTAAACTATCTTCACAGTGATGACACATCCATAGTGTTTTACGAGGACAGCGTTTAAGCCCTGTACAATTTAAATGGTACCATTCGCAGCAATAGTTACAGTAAATACTTGTTTTATATTTTGACTATTATTTTAAAGGTCTAGTCTTCAAGCGATACAGCTATATGGAGTTTGACTTCATATTGAGTAATCATTATTTGTCTATTTTAATTCATAATATACTTCATTTAATACTTTCGATTCAAATCATTCATTGATAAACTTTTTCCTATGCTTATTATCCTAATAGTATTACTTACAGGTTTGCAAAAATTTTTTAGTTTAATAAATTCTACACTTTTATTCACTTTGTTTATTGACAAATGCATAATATTAACATAGGTATTAATCACGTTCGCATTTTGAACAATTATTATCCTCATAACTAGTAACATTAATTGGTTTTTTTCATCATTTTCGCGTTTATTTATCACAACATTTTTACCGGTAGGCTATCACTGATTTCATCGAATATTTACGTGAGTGGGAAGAAAAAGCAAAGGAAGAAAAACAGAAATATAAAGAACTGAAAAAACATTTAGATGAAGACCAACTACCGGGCAAATTTTTTTTGCTATAACTGCAAGCACATTAGATGGGTTCAAAATCTCACTTGGAGCTACTTTAGAATTTGCTGATTTCTTACATACTCAATGTAACTATGATTATCTGATGACAATACATCTTACTCAGGATGCCTTAGAGGTAAGCGTTTTTTTCACATTTTTTTTAATTGTTCGTTAATTTTACTCGTTACATAATAATTTCCAGAAATTTTTTGGGATCATGAGAAATGCCTGTGGATGTAACGATCACCCAGACGTAATATTGTTTGGCCAAGTATATCGTTTACTTTGTTCATATTCTTTAGCGACTCCACCTAGAGGATCTAATGTAACTGCTGGCGAACTGTTGCAATCTTTGATGCAAGCCAAAGACTCTTTGGCATTGGCTTCTGTTCCTAAAAATGAATGGCTCCAAAAACTTGAAGCGATTGTTGAGAAAGGCATTTGTGGCGAAGTTTCTGAAGAACCAAACAGCAATGATATTATTGATAATGAATTTTCTTTTCCAAATCTACTTCATGATGCGGGCTTGTTGGATGAAGAACTGAATAATCACGACATATCATCTAATAATTACACAGATACAACTAATATAGATGAACAAGTAACTGGTCTAGGTGATAAAGAGTTTTGTCGAAAGCTGTTTGAAAGTTTGGTCGATGAAAGTGACAGCGACGCCCTGTTTAAAAATATTGATTGAAAAGAATTAAAAATGATGAAATTCGAATTCTGTTTTGTCGAAAACTATCCAATGCGGATAATTCCCGTAATTGTTTTAAATTATATGATAAAGTTGGGATTAGGAAATTAAATAATAATACTTGGAATTTTTGGGGAACAATTTAGAAGAATTTATTTGTCCCCAAAGGAGGAAAACCCAGCTAGGCCGGGAAAAAACCTCCTTGATGAAATCATACAAGTAAATTGTGTGTGTGTAAGTGTGAATGTGTAAAATTACGTTGCAATAACGCAATAGGGGTGAGCTCAGCCGCCGTATAAAGAAAATTATCGATAATTTGAATTTATACTGTCCCAAGGCGGGAGCTAGTAATATCTAATTAATTAGATGAACTATCTCAAGGCGAGAGCTAATAATGTTCAATTAATTAGACGAATTGTCTCAAGGCGAGAGCTAATAATGTTCAATTAATTAGACGAATTGTCTCAAGGCGAGAGCTAATAATGTTCAATTAATTAGACGAATTGTCTCAAGGCGAGAGCTAATAATGTTCAATTAATTAGACGAATTGTCTCAAGGCGAGAGCTAATAATGTTCAATTAATTAGACGAATTGTCTCAAGGCGAGAGCTAATAATGTTCAATTAATTAGACGAATTGTCTCAAGGCGAGAGCTAATAATGTTCAATTAATTAGACGAATTGTCTCAAGGCGAGAGCTAATAATGTTCAATTAATTAGACGAATTCTTAAAGTATAATTGAATCTACTATAATTATTTATATTTAATGAATGATTTAAATATTTGAATGAATGTGAGATGCAAGTAAGAATTATCAAATTGATTAGCACAGAGTAGTCGTACTAGTACAGAAGTCCAAGCACAACTATTGCATCAGACCACGCGAGCCGGCTTCTCTACCGCTAACTAAGGCGCGCATGAGCGACGGCCATAGCGTGATACGATTATTCCCGAGTTTATACGATTATTCCCGAGTTTTAACGATTAAGCCCGAAGGCGTAATTCTTCTTATAAGTATTTGACTAGATCTCTTTTCTAGCGGTAAAACAAATTCTTTTCAATAATTTCAATTCTTTTGTTTATATATATAGATATACAATTTGCATGGAGTGACCGCTTTTCAATTCTTTTCAATCAGTATTTTTAACCAGGGCGATGATGATACATATCAATGCCAA